AAATCAAAAACCTTACACAATCTCCAAACAATCTGGTGTACCAATTTTGTTTTGTCAGTCGTGACATGAAAAAGCTCTCAGTGGTTTTTAATGCTATTACAACATTCAGTTTCCCTTCAGATGGCACAATAGCAGATTTACCGTTCAGTCCTTCAGTAACAGCTCAGTTTTGGTGGTTCAACTTTTAGTCTAGGCTTTTTTTGCCTCTCATTTCTGTCAGTGACCGAGCATATTTGAGTGGATGCTGTCTGAAAGCACATAAATAATGTTTTATCGAATTTAGAAAGTAGGGTAGAGCAGATATGGCGCTACATGCCTCAGGGTGTTTATCATATCGATATACTGTGGTATAATGCTTAAAAATAAGCTCTGATGTTTTTCTTAAACAACAAGGAAACAGTCACTGATCAGAGGTGCGGGTCATCACAGCTGTCAGTCACACAGCAGTCAGGTTTGTCATTTTAGTCTATTCTGGTCTCCACAATCCTCTTTACACAAACACACACACACACACACACACACACAAACACACACACACACACACACACACACAATGGCATATATATGCACTCTTCTCTCTCACACACACACAGTGCTAAGTGGTGTGTGTTTACAGCTTGTTCATTTCCACTCTGCAACTGTTGGCTAAGGGAGTAGGGGCGAGAGAGGGAGAGAAAAAGAGGGTGATCGGAAGAGAGAGGGAGGGCTGGCGGGCAGTGTTTTTGTCCTGAAGAGAAATAGCCCTCTAGCTTGTAATTGGAGGCAGAGAAAGAGAGAAAGAAGAGGGAGGGAGCGACAGCAGAAATTGCTTGGCTGGGGCTGTGTGGGATGATAGTGTTTTTGACAGGTAAATAAGGCTGTGATTGTCGACAGTTACACTGCACCTTTCTGACCCCCACACACACTGGCCTCCTCCATCTATATTTCACTCTGACACGCGTGCTGACTGCCCCTCTCTCCTTCTCTCTGTCCCCCTCTATTCTTTTCTGTCTTTTAATCCCTCAATCCTCTCTCTAGTTCTTCCTTTTCTTATATTATTTTTTATGGTTCCTTAGATGTAAACCTCATGATGCAACACATGCATACTCTCACCTTACATTTGGAAAAACTTACTTGAACATGGTCACATGGTGTGCAGAATGGTTTTTTTCACAGCTCTGGTATTTGTATTATGAATGACTGATGAATGGTTGGATAAATGGACAAGACAGACAGATATATGGAAGGAAAACACAGGTGTAAACAGATGGAAGAATGGCTGGACGGAATGGAGTATTGTTGGACGGATGGACACATATAGACGGATGGTTGAAAAAGAAAGATAGATAGATAGATAGATAGATAGATAGATAGATAGATAGATAGATAGATAGATAGATAGATAGATAGATAGATAGATAGATAGATAGATAGATAGATAGATAGATAGATAGATAGAAAGATAGATAGATAGAAAAAGACATGGGAAAATGGTTGGATGAATTGAAAAAAGGATTGAAAGAATAGTTGGACAGATGGAAAAAATTTATAGAAAAGACTGATGGATGAATAGTTTGGATGTATAGACAAATGTGATTAGATTGATAATAAATGGAGGAAAGATACAGATGGATTGAAGAATGGTTGGATGAATGAAAGAATGGCTTACAGATAGATAAGTATAGACAGACAGACAGACAGACAGACAGACAGACAGACAGAAAAAGACATGGAAAATGGTTGGTTTAATTGAAGAAAGGATTGAAAGAATAGTTGGAAAGATGGAAAAAATTATAGAAATGGATGAATAGACAAATATGACTAGACTGATGATAAATGGAGGGAAGAAACAGACGGATTGAAGGATGGTTGGATGGATTAAAAAATGACGGACAGATAGACAGAGATAGGTATAGAACAGGGGTCACCAGTCTCTGTCCTGGAGGGACGGTGTCCCTGCAGGGTCTAGCTTCAACTTGCTTCAACACACCTGCCTGGATGTTTCAAGTATACCTGGTAAGACCTTGATTAGGGTTGGAGCTGGTATAGATAGACAGACAGATAGATAGACAGATAGATAGACAGACAGATAGATAGACAGACAGATAGATAGACAGATAGATAGACAGACAGATAGATAGACAGATAGATAGACAGACAGATAGATAGATAGATAGATAGATAGATAGATAGATAGATAGATAGATAGATAGATAGATAGATAGATAGATAGATAGATAGATAGATAGATAGATAGATAGATAGATAGATGGAAGAATAGTTGGATGGATGGACAAAAACTTTATAAAAAAGACAGGTGGATGGATGAAAGGTTGGATGAATAGACAACTATGAGTAGATAGAAAAAGACAGAAGCATGGAGAAATGGTTGGACGAATTGAAGAAAGGATTGGAAGAATAGTTAGACAGATGGACAAAAATAGATAGAAAAGACAGAAGGATGGATGAATATTTTGGATAGATGGACAAGTATGAGAAGATTGATGGACATAAACGGAGGGAAAATACAAACCGATTGAAGAATGGTTGGACAGAATTAAGAATGGATGAAAGAATAGATGGATGGATGGACAAGAAATACATAGAAAAGACAGACGGAATAATGGTTGGGTAGATGGACAAATACGAGTATTTAGATGGACAGCAAAGAGAGAAAACAGAAAAATGGAAGAATAGTTGGGTAGACAGACAGACAAACAGACAGACAGAGATATAGATATATAGATGGATGGATGGATGGATGGATGGGTGGGTGGGTGGGTAAATGGAGGGAGGGAAAAGACAGATGGAAGTATCCCTAGATGAATTGAAGAATGCATAGAAGATTAGTTGGACAGATAGACAAAATAGACAAGACAAATGGATGAATGGTTGTACTGATAGACAAATAGCCTACGATGGAGGGAAAAGAGACGGATACATGGTTAGACAGACAGACAGAAAGATAGATAGATAGATAGATAGATAGATAGATAGATAGATAGATAGATAGATAGATAGATAGATAGATAGATAGATAGATAGATGGAAAAGACAAATGGGAAAAGACAAATGAATGGAAGAATATTTGGACAGAAAGAAAGAAAGAAAGAAAGAAAGAAAGAAAGAAAGAAAGAAAGAAAGAAAGAATGGTTTTCTCTCCTTTGCCACCCCGGTATCTCTTCTTCCTCTTTTCCCTTCTTCCATCCTTTCCCATCCTCTTTTATCAAGTCAACAACCGTCTCTCCCCCTCCCGCTCTGTTCTGCCCTTGCCTCCCTCCCTCTCTCTCTCTACCTCTCTCACTTCAATCTCAAGTGTTTTCAATTTTATTCTAGAGTGGAATTAACTACCCCCGATGTCAAATTGCCGACGAAATCGATAATAATATCTTTACAAAAGAGGATATTCCAGTCTCTCGCGTCGGCTTTTGAAAAATGGAAAATTTAGCCGAGATTGATTCATTAGTTGACACGTTATAGGACGGTATAAGTATTGATCGCGGCCTGTCATGTCCCATCTCGGCTAATCGAAGCTGAGGCGCTCTGTCGATGGGCGCATTTTTCATAATTCCAACGCCGGGGAGAGAGACTAGCCGACGGAGGCGACTGCAAGGCACTGAGAAAAGGAGAGAGTGTATGGGGCGAAGGGGGGCAAAAAGAAAGATAGACGGAGGAGAGATGGCTGTGGGGAAATAGGTAGGGGGCAAAGAGGGGAAGAGCGAGAAATAGAGTGAAAAAGAGGTATGGGGTAAAAGGGTGAAAAAAACTACAACCGCGTAACGGGCTTTTTTCAGCGTTTACGGAAACTGACAGGGTGAGCTGGGGGTGTTTAGGGGGAAAGGGTATGTTAATAGTGCAGGTATTGGGGCGTACATAATTAATGCATTACTAATTAAATACAAAACGACGAGAAAACGAGATGGGATGAGAACACGACAGGAAGGAGATTGACGGGCACTCGGGCACCGCTCGCGAAGAATGGGGTTTAATAGCTGGAGTTGAGGCTTGGAGGTGTGAAAATGGTAAGATCGGATGAGAAGCCTGAGCGAACGGTGGGGGGGAAATAAATAGAAATCGAATGGTTTGAGTTCGGGAAAGAAGTTCTCAGGCGGAAAAAAATATATATATAGAGCGAGTGAAAGGCGATGACGTTGATTGAGAAACTTTTGATAGTTGTTCAGCCTGAAAAGTTGTTTTAAGGGCACTAGTCTAACCTCTTATGTGTCGGCTCTCTCAGATTACCACAGATAGGCCATTTCAACTCCAATCACTGTATAATGCATTTGCTCTTAAGTTGTTTTTTAAGTTATAAAGCACAGCGTGTTTTGTGCGCTAAGACAACGAGGATGCAATCGTGCATTATTTTAAAAACAATCAATTAAGGGTCGATAGGGTCAGTCTTCTATTAAAAAAAAAGTTTTACAGAGGAAATTAAAAGGACATAAAATCGTATATAGTTAAACTGTTAGGCAGCAGTAGTCTAATATTTATTTTCAACCACTACTTCGTTATCAGAAATTATGAAACGTTTTTGTAAGTTAGTTGCCTGTCATAGCATAACATATAAACATGGATATTTAGGATATGCTGATTCAAATACGCAGTTATAAATACATTTTTGATCTTAACTTGCACCTCTCATCACTGCAATATTGTCACGCATCTCAGGTCACAGGTTTTTATGCTTATACCACCAGACTGAGAGGGGAAACCTTTCAATTGATCATGCATGTCCACTCTATCCTATTACAGTCCTCCATTATTCAATTAAGCTTGTGATCTGTGGCCAAACTCTGGACTGGAGCAGATGTTAGATGTGGAATGAACTCCTTCATCAAGAGCAGGCACACTCATTTTTTGGGGGGATATAATGGCAGTCAGATTACACTGTCTTCAAATATTTAGTAAACTGACAGCAGCTTAAAACTCACAATTATTGTAAGATAGATTAATATGAATATTAAACAACTGAAGGAAAAATATAATGAGACGAGTTAGAGTAGAAAGAATGGATTCGGATTACGTTTAAGAATGGGATAGAAAAAGAAGAGTGTAGATGTATGCGGTAGATGGAGAAATAGAGGGAGGGGTGAGCGGGGTCTTGGTACTTGGCAGTCTCTGAGTATCTCAGGTTCTCTCCGGCCGAGGAAAGCGGTCGATATTTAATTGTTATTGCTAGCATGGAACGTACGGAAGCGGTGCCTGTACGAAAATTTCTCATTTATTTGGTATTCTTGTTTTCTCTCTTTCACTCTCTCTCCCCCTCTCCCCCATGTAGAGTGCTGGAGATGTAGGGGGTGGGGGGTATTTAGACATTTATGGTAGAAAGAAAGTGGGTAAAAGCGGAAAAAACACCCTCTTTTTCAACTAGCAAGTTTAGTTTTCTTCCTTAAACGTATTGCAACAGCCTGCACCACGCAAGCAACACGTTCTTTGACTTGAGCTCTCACCCCTTAGACCAGTACTCCTTCACCCCCACCCGTCCAAAGTGAAAAATCCGTCATTTTCCATCAAACGTCGAACCAAATATTATCTACACTCTACTCCGAGAGATCGAAACTTATTTAAGGCGACGGGATTCGCCATGTGTTTTTAAATTTCATTCCTCCGTGTACTTTATTTTCCCCGACTTTGGACAAAATTATAACCCGATCGATCTCCTATCTGCCCACTGTCTACATATATTTTCTGGGGCGGTCTCCGTTTTTGCTCTCTGTCGCCGGTCAATTTTCTGACCCTTTAGCGCGAGACCAGGTGCAGACTAGCAAACGTCCCAAACCTCGATTAGTTTAGCTTTAGGGATTATACCCCAGACTCTTTACCTCCTCCATCCCCCCTTGACCTGTCTTCTTGGTCCTCCCTGACATGTCCCGTCTCTCTTCCTCTGTTCACCGGTGCGCTCCACTTGCCTCATCGTACTTCAGCGTGCGACTCGTCATGTGCAGTTCAGTTTGAGCTCACTCCTTCCGACACATCCTGCACACTTTTGCAGGCGGACTTGCGAGGGACTACTGAAACCTATGGGGTGGGATTCGTTTTGTTTCATTACCAAAGGAAACTCTCCTTTTTTTATTTTCCTTATCAGTTTTGTTTACATTTGTGTGTTGTCTCGTGCTCAGTCGTCGTGCTATTATCTGCATTATTGCAATATGTTGCTTCATTGTGAACCTTAATTCGGAGAGACAAAAACCAACTTAATGCACAAGTTGATTTTCAGTGCTTTCCAGTCGCTGGTGTGGGTTGAAGATATTGCTATCCACGGGACCCCGGAAATCCAAGTGTTAAGTCGATGTGAATGCGCAGCGGCAGGTGAGTAAAGCTCTACTTTTTTGACTGTTTTCAAATGAAAGAATGTTTAGTTTTAGGAAAAAGAACTTGTCCTGAGAGAGCATGGCAGGATGTTTCCACCTTGGGTGTCTGTCAATTCGCCCCCGTTACAGACAGCATTTTAGCTACTTTTCAAGACAATGTTTAGAAAAACGTGTCACATTACGCAGTGGTGTTTGATAGCTTCGGGGTGCGTAACGGCGCTATGGGAGCGGGTGAGAAAGGAAGGGGAATTGAAAGGTGGTGCGCGGTACACCTGTACTCGAGACATGATTCCTTTAATGGTGAAGACTCCTTCTGCTTACTGGTCGATGACATGCTTTGTTTTAAAGTTTTGAGTTTGTGCTGGACTTGTCTTAATTCAAGATTAATTCAAAACATATATTATAGCTGTTCTACTCCACAAACAAGATACATGTGGTATTCAGCACATAAAGTTATGTTTTTTGTGCAAAATATGTTGAGCTATTAGCAGATTAGCTTCAAACAACACTTTTTTGGTGCATGCCCACAATGATATTTTAAACATTTTTCAATTACTTGGATCACTAGTTCTTGTAATCTGGCCTCAAATAAACATCTTTAGTGTGTCTATACTATATATTTGTTTCTCAATTCTGAATGTATATGACTGTTAATAGGCATCTCTTAAGAAGCAGAATATTAAAAAAGCACTTACTTGTTACTTCTTGTGTGAACCTATGTGGGGTGCTTGTAGCTCTTGTAGGCATGATGGGAAATGTAGTTTAACTTCTCTTTAAGTTTAGCTCAGACACACAAGCTTGTCTGGTAAGCTTGTAAGCCACAATTTATGGTGGGTATAATAGACTCATTACTGCTCCAGTGAGGATAAAACTCTCGTAATGCTTTACTTGAATATGGCCTTCTCCCCCATTCATTGCAGTGATGACAGCACACTGCTCTACAGTCAATGACCACATCATTTCTCATTCCCTTTATGGCTCTGAGACATTTATGGGATTCCAGAGGGTTTAAGTAAGAGTTAGTGAAAAACAGGACGCTGCTTTTATTCAGCTGGGTGCTATAAGTAATGTCTGTTCAGTGGATTTAAAACTCTATTGGTCTGATTTGGCTAGTTTAGTTGATTTGATGACTGATTACACATTTTACTAATACTGAAGGATTCTCCTCATACTGTTATCAGGTTTAAAATTAGGAAAGGTTTATGTATATATATATATTACATTAAGATTTAAGAGGACCAAAACACATATAAAAAAACTTTATTTCAATGTTAAAGTTCAAAGTAATAGCACAACACTCATTGCAATCCTCCTGCTTTCCTTTACTCCCACTTAACCCCATATTTCACAGCTGAACTAAAGCTAATTTAACCCAAGTTAGCCACACACAGCTCTATCCACTAGAGAAGCATGCCTAATTACCCTCAATTAAATCACTTAGCAAACGAGAAAATTACTTTGATATGAAATAGCGCACACGGAAGCGTGACGAGAACCATGGTGGACTACTGGAATGGACAGAAGCTGTGTTGAGTTAGGAGGTCTTAAAGAGAGAAAAAAAGTATGATTATAGGGGATGTAGTTGTTTTGCTTTGGCATAATACATAAACAGAAATATCAAAAATAATGCAATGCTTGGGAGAGTGGTGTTCTGACATTTAACAATAGTGAAATTGATTTTATTCCTACCAAGACTTTGGTGCAGATTTTATTACCAATCCAAAGATCAACAAAACAGGTAATAGAAGTTAAATTGCAAGGACATTAGCTTTGGGACTGAATTAACTCTAATAATGAATTAACAGGATTCAGTTGTGCATTGACTTTGTATTTATGAGGTAACATTGTTTGTGCAATGTTGCAACAGGCTAATATATTTTCAGAGTTTTGCTGGAGCAGTTCTAGTGACTTCTAGGCCAATGACATACTGTTTTTTATATTAAGATATCTGGTATACGCTATGCAAGTCAACTTCTCAACAAAAAGGATATTGCTTTTTAAAAAATTTTAAACAGGTGGATGATTCTTATCTCAGCTATGTATGTAATGGCATTCAGATATTTTTATTTATAAAACGTGTGGTTTGGGAGCCACATATACTGAATATAAAATAGTTAAATTAATTACATATGGGCAAAATGTTGCCAATGGGTAAATGAAATGTATAAAACTATGATACTTTGCAGATATTCCAGACCAATCTCAAAAGGAAACTGTTACGGTCCCTACTTAAACAAAACTCATGATCCTAAGACAACATAACATAAATAAACAAAGGCCAATGTGCTCTAACTAAATTATAACGTAATCAGCGAAAAAATCCAAAATGACAAGAGATGGGGAGTCCAACAACATAATAGATAACAACCACTCCAAACAACCCCTTTCCAAACATAGGATAACCTAATCATAAATTTGTTACAAACTGTGGTGGTGTAGAGAAATAAGGGAAAGCAAGAAGTCTGCTTCCTTCTGTTTTAAAAGCCTGACATCATCAAATCAACCTATAGAAAACCAAAAAGGGAAAAAGACAAACAAGATCAATGTAAAGTAATAATCACGAGCAGGGGCGTCATGGTGGCACAGTGGGCAGCACGTTTGCCTCACAGCAAGAAGGTCGCTGGTTCGAGCCTTGGCTGGATCAGTTGGCATTTTTGTGTGGAGTTTGCATGCTCTCCCTCTGTTGGCATGGGTTTCTTGCGGGTGCTCCGGTATCCCCCACAAGTACCACAAAACATGTGGTACAGGTGAATTGGGTTGGCTAAATTGTCCCTTGTGAATTGGTGTGAATGGGAGTGTTTTGCGTTATACATATTTTGTTGTACATATTTTATGTATTGTTAGGAATGTGTCTAATTTGTATGATTTCATGCAGAGGAAAATGTCTGATTTTTAAACCCTACCCTTTATTGGGAAATGAGTAAAAGATTTATGAATGAGATTATACAAATTATACAAATTAAAAAAGTGTTCTGTCTGTAGACAAGATCTTAATACACATTACACTTGAGTGTCATTGCAGTTCAGAATTATTATGTAAATTAGAAAATGCTAGAATTTGTTTGCATCTTTTCATCATCTATATTTACAAAAAAATGCTTACAATTTACACATCCATTCTTATGCTCTTTAATAAGCTCTACCAGGGCTCATTAACAAACCAACAACTTTTATTATCAATGACATTGTTTAATCTAAAATCCTTCATTAGACTTTTGGAGATGGTTTAGTGGTGATGGTAAACAAATGTGAGGTATTGACTTCAGACTCTTCACACCATAATGCTTTTTGAACTAATCTTTGCTGTTTAGGCTGTTGCTGTTTTACCAGCATTAGAGCATCCATCGGTAACAATTGTTATAATCACCACCAGCCTAATACTTTCATATCGCTTATAAACGTCCAGTTTACCTCACGCTCTGTTGCTGGAGAATGAGGCAGCCCAGAAAAGGCAATGCAGTTAGAGATAATTGTAAACAGTAGTAGTAATAACACCAGGCCCAACAGTGATAACAATTAGATTTGATTTCATTTGAGGATGCCTCCACAGCTGCTACCCCTGCCCCCCATAGTCCTCCAACCCCTCGAATGGACCACTCTGAACCCCAGCACCTAACAACAACCCCACCCCCAACCCATGGGGCCCGTCTCCCCCTCAGATTAAAGTGGGTGTGTTAATTCGGTGGTGTAGCGATCGAAGAGCTCTGGCAACAATGGGAAATGGGCTATTGATCAGACCTGCTCAGATTAAGACTGGGGACTGGAGCTCTTTCTTGCTCTCTTTCCCTCTCCTTTTCTATTCGGTTTCCCATCCTTCTCTTCAGTTCTCTTACAGCTCATCTGTTCTTCCTTTTTCTGTCCTTTTATTTCTCTCTCTTTCTATTTGTTGTTACTTGTTCTAGCCATTTGCGTCTAAAGATGTCCACAGGCTTTTCTTTGACTGTCTTTTCCTTTTCTCTGTTTGTGCTTCCTATATTTCAGTGGATGCAAAACTACTACAAACAGGCTCTTCTTTTTTCCCCCAAAATTAAAAAAAAATATATATATCATCCATTTATTTATTTAAGTGTCAATCCCAAGAGACGTTAATCGTTCACAAACACACAACAGCAGTACAAGATGTCCTTTGCCAGCATGGTGTGGTTGTGAATCGGATCCACATTGTAAAGTAATAAACCATACAGTAAGGAAGTGGACAGTTAATCCATACGGTGCAAAGTGAGCTTTAAAAATCTCAGCTCTACCTATACGAATAACCTCAATCACTGATAATGGGATAGGTCAGTCTTCCCCCTCCCACCTAATAGATGCACCATCAGTTGTCACCACAGTCACTGACATTAGCACAAACCACGCACCTTGCATTCATAATGCCATCAGAGAGGCCTGTAATATGCAGCATATTAGGGTCTATTACATCTGTCTCAGGTCGTATATGCACATCCTCTTATTAAACATTTGGTAGTTGTGACTTTATCTTAGCTGTTTTTTAACAAGTGTGTTTGTTATCTGAAAATCATGTCACTTGTGTGCATGTTAATGTGATTGAGGGGGACAAAAATTATATATAGTTGAAGTCAGAATTGTTAGCCCCCTCTTGAATATTTTCCAAATGATGGTTAACAGAGCAAAGAAGTGTTCACACTTCACAGTATGTCTGATAATATTTTTCTTCTGAAAAAGTCTTATTTGTTTTATTTAGGCTAGAATAAAAGCAGTTTTTTAAACAATTTTAAGGTCGAAATTATTAGCCCCTGTAGGCTTTATATTTTCTTGATATTCTACAAAACAAACAATCATTATACAATAACTTGCATAATTACCCTAACCTGCCTAGTTAACCTAATTAACCTAGTTAAGCCTTTAAATGTCACTTTAGGCTGTATAGAAGCGTCTTTGCGAAAAATATCTAGTCAAATATTATTTACTGTCGTCATGGCAAAGATAAAATAAATCAGTTTTTAGAAATGAGTTATTAAAACTATTATGTTTAGAAAT